GGGAGATTGATCTGGAGATGCGGAGCAAATATCCACACCTATTTGAGGCTCCATGTATGATTCTAAACCCGTTCGAGGATGAACGTTTGTTTAAGAGGGGGAGAATGTAATGACCCGACCGGTCGTTTTGAGTATTACAACTCTGTTCCCCCATTTACTACTCAATTTGTGCCTTACAGTTGTTATGTGACTTGCCGGGGTAATTAATATAGGTCCGGTGAGGTTTTGGAATAAAGTGGAACACTTAGTTCCAAGGTTTAAAGCTTAAGTTAAAATAGTGATCGGATGTCGACTTATGTATAAACGACCCCGGAATAAAATTTTGATGATTCTAATAACTTTGTATGGTGATTTTGGACTTAGGAACATGTCCAGAAAATTATTTGGATACCCATAGTTAAATTAGGCTTGAAATGGCTAAAATAGAAATTTAAGTTTGGAAGTTTGACCGGGGAGTTGACTTTTTCATATCGGGGTCGGAATCCGATTTTGAAAATTAGAATAGGTAGGTTATGTCATTTATGACTTGTGTGCAAAATCTGAGGTCAATCGGACTTGATTTGATAGGTTTTGGCATTGAATGTAGAAGTTAAAAAGTCTTAGTTTTATTAGGCTTGAATTGGGGTATGATTAGTGGTTTTAGCGTTGTTTGATATGATTTGAGGTTTTGACTAAGTTTGTATGACGTTTTAGGACTTGTTGTTGTATTTGGCTGAGGTCCCGGGGGCCTTGGGTGAGTTTCGGATGGTTAACGGATAAATATTTGGACTTGGAATGCTGCTGGAATATTTCTAATGTCTGCACCTAGTTTCCTACTTCGCGTTTGTGAGAGGGGTCTCGCGTTCGCAAAGAGGAACTAAATGGAGGCGAGGTTGTTCATCGCGTTCGCGACTTGGGTCCTGCGTTCGCATAAGGCAAGGAGGTGAGGTTACGCGTTTGCGATTGGGCATCGCGTTCGCGAAGGGGAAACTGGCTGGTGAGGATTTTTGCCTTCGCGTTCGCAAAGGTTCACCAGGTAAAGCATCGCATTCGCGAGCTTGGACTCACATTCATGAAGGGCAATTTTTGGACAGCACAATTTTGTGTTTCGCGAATGCGAGGGACCTGTCGCGTTCGCAAAGAAGAAAGGTCTAGACAGAAAGTTTAAGTTCTAAAAATGGGACTTCGTCTAATTTTCTATTTTTGACGAATTGGAGCTCGAAAAGAGGCAATGTTTGAGAGATTTTCAAGAAAAACAACGGGGTACGTGTTCTTAACTTAATATTGGTCAAATTACTCGAATCCATGGTTATTTTTAATACTTAATCAGTGATTTAAGTTGAAAAATTGTGCAAAACCCTCTTGGTTTAATTTGAAGATTTGAGGGTCGAGTTGATGTCGAAATTTGGTAAAATTTGTATGGTTGGACTCGTGGTTGGATGGACGTTCATATTTTGTAACTTTTGTCGGGTTCCGAGATGTGGGTCCCACGGGCGATTTTTGAGTGCAATTTTGGATTTTGTTGAAAAATTAGTATTTTCATATGGAATTAATTCCTATAATTTGTATTGACTGAATTAAATTATTTGTGACTAGATTCGAGGCGTTTGGAGGCCGATTAGTGAGGCAAAGGCATGGCAGAGTAAAGAATTACACGGTTTGAGGTAAGTAACAGTTCTAAATCTGGTTCTGAGGGTATGAAACCTCGGATTTTGTGTTATGTGATCGGTTTTGAGGTGACGCATATGCTAGGTGACAGTCGTGTAGGCGTGCACCGTAAGAATTGTAACTTGGTCAAATTCCATGAAACTGTGTAGTTGAATAATCTGTCGTTATTTGTACATTCTCCATGTAGTAGAGAAATTGAACCACAAATCATGTTTAGATTATGTGTTGGCACTGTAGGGACCCACAAAGGTCATGTACATATTGAATTATCTGCTAAATTATTGTTTTGTACTTGGTCACAATTTACTTGTTTATTTTATCTTAGTCTTTATTGTTCATTATTGATCCATCATATCATTGTTGTTTGGGTTGATTTTCATGATTATTGAGATACTTGAGAGATTTATGATTGAGTGAGGTCGAGGGTCTGATTGTGAGATATTATACTATAGCACGGGAGTTATCCGTGCAGCACGTTTGAGTTATTCGTGCAGCACGTGAGTTGTCCGTGCGGATCCAGACATTATACTATAGCACGTGAGTTGTCCGTGCAATACGTGAGTTGTCCGTGTGGATCCAGATATTATACTATAGCACGTGAGTTGTCTGTCCAGATTATAGCGCTTGGGCTGAAGGAGCCCCTCTGGAGTCTGTACACACCCCCAATGAGCTCAGGTGCCTATTGAGTGTGAGTGCTGAGTGTTGAGCGAGTGGGAGGACTGAATGACTGTTGCTATGAGAGGATGCATTGATTTCATTATTGTTGTACTACAATTGTCACATATCATTGTTTTGGAAATTTATGAGAGATATTATCTTTTCTTTCAGTCGAACTTGATATGAAATTACTGTTTGGGCCTTAATTGTTGAACTTGCAAGCATGCCTACTTTCTTATATTGAAAATTACTGTAATTGAACTTAGCTGTGAAGCTCGTCACTACTTTCAGTTCTTTATTTGGTATTGTTACTTGCCGAGTTGGTTGTACTCACACTACACCATGTATCTCGTGTGCAGATCCAAGTACTTTCGGATACGGTAACCGATAGATCTCAGAGTGTTATGAGTTGGAGACTATCAAGGTAGCTGTTTGGCATCCGCTTACCTTGACTCTCTTCCTTTCAGTTATTGTACTGTTCTATATTTTCAGACAGTATTTTTATTAGTCAGACTTTGTTATCATTTAGATGCTCATGTACTTAGTGATATCGGGTTTTGGGAGTGATTATATCGGTATTAATGAGATTTTTGTATTAACTTTAAATATTATGTTTTCAAACTTAAATAAAATTGTGCTTTATTGAGGTTGTCGGTTTGCCTAGTATTCAGATATGCGCCATCACGATATATTAGGATTTTGAGTCGTGACAAGTTGGTATCAGAACCTAGGTTACATAGGTCTCACGATTCATGAGCAGGTTTAGTAGAGTCTTGCGGATCGGTACGGAGACGTCTGTACTTATCTTCGAGAGGCTGCCGAACCCTTAGAAAAATTTTACTTTCTTGTATTCTGTCGTGCAAATTTGTTGATTCCGAAAATTAAATTTTTGTTATTCTATTCTCTCACAGATGGTGATGACACCTACTATCGGATTAGACAGTCAACCACCAGTTAGGGCCGCGAGAGGCAGGGGCCATGGTAGAGGCCTGGGCCGAGGTAGATGTCGAGGTGTAACTCGTACAGCAGTTGGAGCAGCACCTACAACACCACCAGTTGCTCCAGCTCAGGAGCAGATTCCATATATAGTTGAGCCGGCGGGACCAGCTCAGGCACCAGCTGTGCTTATTGTGATTCCAGGCCTTCAGGAGGCTTTGGCCCAGATATTGACAGTTTGCACTGGCCTTGCTCAGGTGGTTTCGGCTCAGGCCGCACCAGCCACTTCTTAGGCCGAGGTAGGTACTCATACCTCTGTTGCCCGTACTCTAGAGTAGGTAGTGCAGGGACTTCAGATACCGGGGGCACTACCAGCCCAACAGGTTGCAGCTGCTCAGGCCCATGTAGTCTCCGTTATGGCATATGATGAGCAAATGAGACTTGAGAGATTTGGAAGGCTTCGACCTCCATCATTTAGCGGTGCTGAGTTAGTAAATGCTCAGGGTTTTCTGGATAAGTGCCAGCGGATGCTTCAGACAGCGGGTATTCTGGAGACCAGTGAGGTCTCGTTCACTACTTTTCAATTTTCTGGGGCTACCTTCAGATGGTGGGAGTCTTATGAGAGGCACATGTCGGTCGGTGCAGTACCACTTACATGTCAGGAGCTCTCCGTTCTTTTCTTGGAGAAGTTCGTGCTATTGTCTCGTAGGGAGGAGCTGCGCAGACAGTTTGAGCAGCTTCGGCAGGATGGCATATCTATGACCCAGTACGAGATGAGATTTTTTGAGTTGGCTCGTCACGCAGTTTGGTTGGTTTCCACTGATAAGGAGAGGGTTAAGAGGTTCATTGATGGCCTCACGTATCAACTGCGGTTGCTTATGACTAGGGAGAGGGTATCTGGTGCCACTTTTGACGAGGTGGTTGACATTGCTCGGCAGATAGAGGCGGTCCGTAGCCAGGAGCTTGGTGAGAGGGAGGCCAAGAGGCCTCAAGGTTCGGGCGGTTTCGGTGGGGTACCTTCTAGGGGACAGTCCTACCACAGTAGGGGTCGTCCTTATAGGCCCGCTCAGACGACTCGTCCAGCTCATCGTGGTGCATCAACTAGCCATGGTTCTTACAGTGCTCACTCTGGCCAGTATTCATTCAGTGCACTACCAGCACATAATTCTCAATATTTACACTGCGCACATGAAGTTAAGGACACCATGTCCTTAATATTTACACTGCACGTATGAAGTTAAGGACATGAGGTCCTAAAGTTTAACACAGGAGGTGCAAATACAAGTTAAGGACATTATGTCATTAACATTTACACTGCACACATGAAGTTAAGGACGCCATGTCCTTAACATTTACACTGTACATATGAAGTTAAAGACATGATGTCCTAAAGTTTAACAACAGAAAGTGCAATACAAGACACATTGTCCTTAATATTTACACAACATTCATGAAATTAAGGACATCATGTCCTTAATATTAGTACAGGGTATTTTCGTACGGTCAGGTAAAAAATTATTAAGTACTGACTAAAAAGTAAATATATTTTAAATAGTGACATGTCTAATTAGTGGCTAACCGTGTACTTCCCCAATTTTTGAAAGGGCTTCGCTTTTGGCTAAAGCCCTGCCCAAAAAAATAAAAAAGTTAGAGAAAACAGGAAGGGAAAAAAAAAAAAAATAGAGACTAGTGAAAAACTTGAGCCACTTTGTAGTTTATACCCCAAAAATTAGCGGGTAGCGAAATTGAGCCACTAGAAAAGGGGGATAAAGAGGAGAAAAAAAATGAAAGAAGCAAAACGATAATAAACAGAATTGAAAACGAAACAGAGGTATGTTTTGTGGCTGAAATTGAGCAATGGAAGCTCTTCTGGGAAGCTCTCATTCTCCTTCAGCCTCTGTATCTCCTTCATTTATCATCACTAGCAGCTACAGAAGAAACCCCACTATTGCTTTTAAGGTATGTATGCATCATTTTTTGGTCAAGTGGCCAAATTTCCTAATCTTTCATACTACTATTGTTCATTAGTTGGTGTTCTGGATTTCATTAATTTCCCTCTCAGTTTCGATTTATATGAAATCAGAGGCGGATTCAATATTTGGAGTTTAATGGTTTGGGATACCACTAAACCACTGATCATTTGAGTTACTGGTTCAGAAATTTAATATTTGTACATATTTCATAGATTTCTTAACACTATACAGGGTTTGAGTAAAGCTACTCAGTTCGGCAGAACACATAGCTTATACTATACATCCATTCCTGTATATGATAGCGTTTGACCGGATAGAGTTTAAGATATAATTCGACTTTGTGTTTTATATTAATGGTAGTGAAAACAGATTCTAAAGTAATGCTTGATAATTTTAGTTTGATAAAAAGAAAGTTTTGGAATGTAAAAATGAATTTGGCAGTGGCAAAAAGCTAGTGATTACACAATCAATGAAATGGTGTAAAATGTTTTGAGCATCTCGAAATGGGAAGAGTGTAATATAGATTAGAACAGAGAGAGTTCGTTATTTGAGCAATTTTTAATGAATTGTGAACATTTAAGTAACATGGAAATCCTTGTTTCATTTTGAGTAGTAAACCAGTATACCTAAGTATCTTAAAGGCTTTTGGACCCAATAATTAGAATAAAGGTTGAAACTTTATATTTTTTGTCGTTTTATGATAATCTCAAGATATTTTTGTATCAAATGAAAATATAGAAATTGCAAGACTCTTGTGATTTGGAATCAAATGGGGAAACATTATTCACGAGGTTGAACCAGAGAAGTCAAATTGATTGCCTCGTTCATTCATCAATATCAATCAACTACACCTCAGCCGCAAACTAGTTGGGGCATGCCATATGAGTGCTATATCCATTCCACTCGTCTTTCTCTTTTGTCTAAAAGCTACTTGTCTTTCTCTTTTGTGTTTTTGGTGTAAAAATTCAATAAATGTACATGACATAGATAGTCCAATAGGGTTCTTCAGTAATCTCACAGATTAGCATAGAAACGAACTGAGATTTGTAATGGTTCTTGTGAATCCTTATAGCACAAGCTTAATGCTATGTCTAATCAATAAAATGTTTTGCTTAATTTCTTAAAGATCATGTATTTTAAACATCTTGCAGGTGCTTTCGTGGAATTCTTTGTACAGTGGAAGTAATAACTCTCGACTATATCCTCATATATTGTGTCTTAAAAAGAGTGGCAATGACAACTCTGGAAGTTGCCCTCCTTTGTGCTACATTGAGCAAATGTGCAAAAACAGAATGTTTTCTCAGCCAAACTGGAGGCTTAGCAAAATATTCCTTGATAAGCAAAGTATGCTGGTTATTCAAAACGGCTTAGCTTTTTTACCTAGAAAATTCAAGACCAGTCTCCGCAAAACAGTAAGGCATTCGGAAATATTTAGGAATATAGTACCTGATATATTTGTTCGTTCCTGCATTGGACTAATGCTGGTTATGGCAGTTAATACTGCTGTTGCAAAAGCTCCTTCTTGTAAGTCTGTCAGTTTGATGGATTGTATCGAGCTTTTCCGTATTGTAAGACTCAGTTATTGGACTATAAGTAACGGATCTCCTATTTCCTTCCCATTTTACAGTTGCTCTCACTGAAGAAAATCTGCTTTTCTTGGAGGCATGGAGAACAATTGACCGTGCATATATTGACAAGACCTTCAATGGTCAAAGTTGGTTTAGGTACAGAGAAGATGCACTACGAAATGAACCAATGAATACAAGGCAGGAAACATGTAAGATGTGCCCTTTTTTTCTGGTGATCTTTCGGTGATTATCTGCGTGAAGTTTTGCGTGAATACGTAGGGAAGAAATTGATCTGCTATGTATCTGCAGTGAAGCTTCTGATTGAAAAGGAAGAATTCATTATTATGAGTAGCATTGTAGAGTACTAGAGTGTGCAATCTATATAGAAGGGAACACATATTAGCTGATCACACAAACATGTGTAAGAAGATGCAGCTTCGCAAGATAATACCCGGCACATGTTTGTATTTCCTTTTTGCAAACAAGATCCTATATTGTGCCCATTGGTCTGTGTATATACCTTTGGTCAAGGTCACCTGCATACTGGACTAGTATATTGAGTTCTGAATTTTGTCCGATATGACTGAAATACTTTAAGTACCCTCATCTATTTGCTGGATCCAAGCCCTTTTGTGGCAGAAATTCTGTTGATCAATATAGTAATAGAAATGTACCGACTACAATAGTCGACTTTGAAGCTATAAACTTGTCTGAAGTCTGAAATGACTTTTCTGAGTTACAGATGTAATTTTGCATCCCTTAAACGTTCATGTTGTTAAATCTTTGCACTACTCTGTCTCCAGATGCAGCAATAAAAAAGATGATTGCCACTCTGGATGACCCTTTCACCCGATTTCTGGAGCCCGAAAAGTTTAAAAGTTTGCGGGTATGGTTCTTGTTTTCTCTTGTCATGTTAGCTACTGGGTGAACTCCACCTGATTGGTTGAAAATGTGCTGCCTAAACAGATCTCTTCATATGTTTTTTGAAGGCAGTCAGGAACTCAAAATGCGCTTACTGGAGTAGGGTTGTCAATTGGCTATCCAACAGGAAAAACTGAATCAGCTCCTGGACTGGTCGTCGTCTCAGCTTCTCCAGGAGGTCCTGCAAATAGGGCTGGCATCTCATCCGGTGATATTATCCTAGAAATTGACAATACAAGCACAGAAAACATGGGTATATATGATGCAGCAGAACGGTTACAGTAAGTTTTCTTCCGGTCCTGAAGTGCAGTGTCATTTTTCTACTTAAATGTTCTTTATTGTTGATGAGATAAGTGTTATTCTGGGTTCACTAGACATCAGTTTCTGTTTGTAGGATAAGTTCATTGTTTTTATTTTGTTCTCTTCATTTATTATTTTTATTTTTGTGGTATACAGAGGACCTGAAGGAAGTGGTGTGGAGCTAACTGTACGTCGTGGATCCGAGACAAGGCAGCTACCACTGATGTGTGTTCATCTTGTTGAACTCTTCTAAAGTTCTCTATGATCTTCATACTTTTGTTAGTTTTAAACGTCACTTGTTGTATGCATAAAAGAAAAAGCTAGTAATGCATTTACTATTTAAGATTTCTCTACTTTGGAGTGTTGTGAATAAGTTTTAGGGCATGCCTTGTTCCTTAGCTTTTCTTCAAGTGAAGATGTGTATATGTGTGCAAATAATTTTTGTATCATTATGTATTTTTATTTTTTTAGCTAGAGATTCATAGTTTTAGCAGATACTAATAATCTGTTAACTTCCAGACGGGAGAAAGTTTCGCTTAATCCTGTAAAATCAAGAATCTGCAAGCTGCCCACTGGAGGAAATGATGCTCCACAGATTGGATACATCAAACTATCAACATTCAACCAAAATGCTTCTGGTAAACTATGTTATGAACCAATTCTAGTATTAAAGCCATTATCCTACTTACTAGGCTAACAGACTACACTCAGATCTTCTGTTTCATTTTAACGCCCATTTATCTGAGTTAGTGACAAGAGTAGGTTGTTCTAGTGGTGAGCACCCTCCACTTCCAACCAAGAGGTTGTGAGTTCGAGTCACCCCAAGAGCAAGGTGGGGAGTTCTTGGAGGGAGGGAGCCGAGGGTCTATCGGAAACAGCCTCTCTACCCCAGGGTAGGGGTAAGGTCTGCGTACACACTACCCTCCTCAGACCCCACTAGTGGGGTTATACTGGGTTGTTGTTGTTGTTGTTGTTGTTGTTATCTGTGTTAGTGGCCTTGGCTTGTTTTTTATTTAATTAAAAAAGGAGCATTTTGTCACTATGCAGATACATTCTAATACCTTCTTTTCTGATTTGGTTATAAAAAATTATACACTCTTCATGGTGTAGAATTTGTTTTCATCATTATAGGTGTGCTCACTATTAGTATGCCATAGTTGAAAATAGCCTTTCTGTTGTAGACAATTAAATCGTTTGGAAAGTGAATTCTGCCCTTGCTGCTATTGGACTTTCTTTCTCTTTCTCGCTATTGCATACTTCCACCAAAAATTCTCTAGAATTCTGATGATTTGGCTACATGTTCAAAGAGTTAAACATCTAGATAGTATTTTCATAAATTTCGGATTAATAGTTATATGATCTCCCTGTAGGTGCTGTAAGAGAAGCGATCGAAGCCTTAAGGAAAAACAATGTTAATGCCTTTGTGTTGGACCTTCGGGATAATAGGTGACATGCTCTCAACATGTCTTCATTTTGGATATGTTTAATTGTAATCTGAAAGTCTAAATCTTTGTGCAGTGGTGGTCTCTTCCCAGAAGGAGTTGAGATAGCAAAAATTTGGTAAGCTTTTTGTATTTGAATTTTCCAGCTTGAGCATTTTACGTGTTGCCCCTTTTAACACTAATATTATGGCTATGCAAGAAGACTAAAATGTGTCATGCAATGAATTTGCTGCCAACCAGGTTGAACAAGGGTGTGATTGTATACATTTGCGATAGCCGTGGTGTTCGAGATATTTATGACACGGATGGGAGCAATGTGGTAGCTGCTTCAGAACCCCTAGCAGTGCTGGTAAGTCTAGTCCGTAAATTATTCAGTCATGTGTAGAGACTAATAGCCTACTGCTGTTATCACTTTCTGCCTAACCTCAGCTAAGTAGTTTTTCTGTTGAAGGTAGAAAATGGAAGCTGGTTTTGTTTTTCCTTAGTGTACTTACATAACATGGGCCAATTTCTTGTTTCAGTGATGCTCTTGGAGTGAGACTATAGTTTCATTTTGCCAAATATTAGCGCTTAATGATGTATAATAATCCTATGCTTCTTGTGTACTTGAATTTTTCTTTACTAAAACATGAAATTCATAATTTTGCACCACAACCAAACTTGTTCTAGTTTCTCTTTCCGTCATTTCAAGTTCACACACTGATTCCAGCCATCTCCCCCTGACTTGCCAACTTATGTTTGGCAGGTAAACAAAGGGACTGCAAGCGCAAGTGAGATTTTAGCAGGTGCTTTGAAAGATAATAAGCGAGCCCAGCTTTTTGGTGAACCAACATATGGCAAGGGGTAATAACTATATTATGTTCAAATATGCTATAGCTGGCAAAAGAAGAGTGCTATTCTTACTTGTTTCTTCTTCTGATACAGTAAAATCCAGTCAGTTTTCCAGCTATCAGATGGCTCTGGCTTGGCTGTTACAGTTGCTCGGTATGAAACTCCTGCTCACAACGATATAGACAAGGTCCAGTCTCTCTCTCTCTCTCACTCTGTATAGGTTCCACGAGCAAATAGGGTTATCGAATGACAGGTTTTCTCTGTATGTATTGTCTTTTTAGGTTGGTGTTATTCCAGACCATCCTTTGCCAGCTTCATTCCCAAAAGACGACGAGAGCTTCTGTAACTGCCTTCTAAATCCTGCCTCTGCTTGCCACCTAAACAGAGTCGAGCTATTCTCGAAATAACTACTTCCCTACAGTCTGAAGAAAAGATTTTTTTTTCCAACTTTTGTTTGTAGATTCCATAATTTCCATTTGATTCTTTTACCTGATGCAAGTTGGTGAATTTGCTCGCATGCATCTGATGTCTGTACATACCAAGAACAAAGGACAACTTCAATTTCTTTTGTTAAACTCTTGCTGTAATAGAATCAAATTCAATTGTTTAGCAATCATCTTTTGAACTCTAAAGCAACAAAATTTCGATTACACATACTTTTTCCTTTGTGGTTTTAAATATATTATTAACATCTTTTTTTTTTCCTTTCATAAATTGCAAGACAAAGCTACACATTAACTTACATATTAACAAGTTTTTCTCTTATGCGTCAATGCATGAATTTGATCTTTTCAACCTCTTTAAATTATAATCCTATTAAAACAATTATGAAGATAATATCAAGAAAAGAAATTATACCACCGTATACGGATAAAATCAAGCTCGATATTCGATCGAGCTTCCGAACTCCCTCATTAGGCCAGGGTAGAAATATCTGTGATCGGGTGAAGTCGAGCTCGAAGATCGATCTGATGTCTAACACCATCATCCAAGATCGTCACATGGTGATTATGATCGAACCCAAAGCATTGTCAAAGTTAGCCATCGAAACCATCAGATTTGCACTCGAGTTTACCGAAGGCGTAACTGGTTCTGTTTTTAATGGTCTCGAAGAAAGATTTGCCAACTCATCCGACAGGGATCCGTAATTCTCGCCATTAACCAATCATTATGGCAGAAATCACAGAACGAGTCAAAAAGGGACCAACGGTCAGCAAATCATGGACTTTTGCCTTTTATAGAACAATAAGATAATATCTTAAAAGGTAGGTTTCCCCTAATATATAAAGGAGACTTAACAATTCATGAGACAGATGGTAACATATATTGATAAGCAATACATTCTCTAAGTTCTTACTCTCTAATATCTGTGTGTCAATAAAAGTACATTCAACTCAAGGGTAACTAGCTTTCTTAAGCTGAAATCATCCAATTCGTGTGGTTTGCAGTTAATTTATCGCTATTTATTTCAATTGCAATTTAATTTATTGCTTTGTATCAAGTTAATCTGCATATCTTTTAAACCACTAACAAATTCAATTGTTATCCGATTTCGAGGGTAAACAATTTGGCGCCCACCGTGGGGCTAAGGATAATAGTGGTTATTTGATACAAAACTCCATAACACACACTACTTTACACTTTCTCTTTGAAGTGTCTTTGATTTTAGGCTAAAAATGGCAAACTCTCAATTAGCACCCCTACATATCGACAACGAGTCCGGTCATCAGGGTGAGAATAACAACATGGCGCCCGGTAACGTAGGACCACCAGCTGATCCCGTTGGAATTTCGCTCGCAAGTCTGATTGACGTTAATTCACATGTGGCTATCGACACAAACTTGCCTACCGACCCCAAAAATAGGATCCGTGGTAGGGCCCGATCGGCAGCACGAAACACATAAAATAATGAAGAAGACGGGATCAGCCTACGGATAATCTTTGAAATGCTGCAAGCTCAACAGGTGGCGATAACTCAGTTGCAGAGACAAAGCCAAACGCCGAGCAGTGTTGAACCCGATCCACCCCGTGAGGTCACCCGTAGAAATGAATCGGTCATAGTAAGGTCAACTGAACAGGAATCGGGTACTAATCCCGAAATTATAAAGATGCTCGAGGAACTGACAAAATGGGTAGAATCAGGAGGGAAAAAATCGAGGCGAACAAAAAAAAGGCGGAAACCTACAATTCCAGGGTGGATCAAATCCCAGGAGCACCTTCGATATTGAAAGGACTGGATTCCAGGAAGTTCGTGCAAAAACCTTTTCCCCCGAGCGCGGCTCCAAAGCCAATCCTCAAAAAATTTTATATGCCCGAAATACCAAAGTATAACGGAACGACCGATCCAAATGAGCATGTAACTTCTTACACATGCGCCATCAAAGGGAACGACTTGGAAGACGACGAGATAGAGTCGGTTCTACTGAAAACAATTTAGGGAAACCCTGTCAAAAATGAGCTATGACATGGTATCACAACTTACCTCCTAATTCTATTGATTTATTTGCTATGCTTGCATAATTCTTCGTGAAAGCACATGCCGGTGCCATCAAGGTCGAGACCAGGAAATTAGACCTTTTCAAAGTTAAACAAAAGGATAACGAGATGCTCAGAGAATTCGTGTCCCGCTTCCAAATGGAATGAATGGACCTGCCGACAGTCACTAATGATTGGGCTGTTCAAGCTTTCACTCAGGGACTCAATATTCGGAGCTCGGTGGCTTCACACCAACTGAAGAAGAATCTGATATAATACCATGTCGTTACCTGGGCCGATGTACATAACCGGTATCAATCAAAAATCAGAGTCGAAGATGACCAACTCAGGGCCCTCTCGGAGTCTGTTTATCCCGTCAGAACCCTCGACAGAGTCAAAAGAGACATAGATCGTGAACCAAGATCAAATAGGGATCAATATCTGCCATATAATGGAGATCGGAGGAGCAGTGGGTCCGGGCGGAACCCCATAAGAAACGAAATGAGAAATGACCAAGGTCGAAGCAACCGGGGGCTCATGACCAAAAATATCTTCGATAGGTCCATCGGGCCTAAAGAAGCGTCGAGGCTATCAGAAAATAACTTTAATGTCGATGTTGCCGCCATCGTATCAGCTATCGGACGCATCAAGGATACCAAATGGCCCCGACCTCTACAATCTGATCCAGCTCAAAGGGATCCTAACCAGATGTGCAAATATCATGGGACTCACGGACATAGAATGGAAGATTGTCGACAACTGCAAGAAGAAGTAGCCCGACTATTCAACAATGGGCACCTTCGAGAATTCTTGAGCGACCGGGCCAAGAATCATTTCAGGAACAGAGATTCTAACAAACATACATAACAAGAAGATACCAAGCCTCACCACATCATTAATATGATCATCGGTGGAGTCGATATCCCACAGGGGCCGATGTTGAAATGCACCAAAGTATCCATCACTAGGGAGAAACAAACTTGAGACTACATACCAGAAGGAATTTTATCTTTCAGCAACGAGGATGCGGAAGGGATCGTACAGCTTCACAATGATGCACTGGTAATATATGTACTCGTAAATAAAACTCGAATTAAACGTGTGTTGATTGATCCAGGTAGCTCGGCCAACATCATTCAGTCGAGGGTCGTGGAGCAGCTCAGTCTACAAGACAAAATTGTGCATGCGGTCCGAATTCTAAACGGATTCAACATGGCATGTGAAACCACCAAGGGGGAAATAACATTGCCGGTCAATACCTCTGGAACCATACGAGAGGCCAAGGTTTATGTGATCGAAGGAGATATGAGGTACAATGCCCTTCTCGGAAGGCCATGGATCTACAACATGAGGGGCAGTGCCCTCAACTCTTCACCAAGTGTTAAAATTCCCAACTCCAGGGGAGATTAAGACAATCTACGGGGAACAACCGGCCGCAAAAGAGATGTTTGCAGTCGAAGAAGTGATTCCAATATCAACGCTCGCAACATCGAAGGAACCGAATTCGGGGGCAAACCAAGAGGCTAAATAGCAGTCACCAATACCGGTCGCAATCCAACCGGATAAGCAGAGGACTTATGAAGATGATGATTACGAGGTTTCCCGATCTTTTATAATCCCTGACGACTTTAACGCAACCAAATCGACGGTCGAAGAGCTGGAATAGGTTATATTGATCGAACATCTACCCGATCGAAAGATATACCTAGGCACAAGGTTAACTCTCGAGTTTAGGAAAAAACTTATTCAATTTCGTGTAGCTAATATAGATTATTTCGCTTGGTCCCATCTTGATATGTCAGGGATCCCATCGGAGATAACCACTCACAAGCTAAGCATGAACACGAAAATCAATCCGGTCAAGCAGAAGAGGAGGCCCCAGTCCGAGGTCAAACATGCTTTCATCAAGGATGAGGTATCTAAACTCCTTAAAATAGGGTCCATTCGTGAGGTTAAATACCCGAATTGGTTAGCAAACGTAGTGATAGTACCTAAAAGGGGGACAAATTAAGAATGTGCGTAGATTATAAGGATCTGAACAAAGCATGTCCCAAGGACTCTTTCCCTCTGCCCAACATTGATCGCATGATCGATGCCACGACCGACCATGAGACCCTCAGTTTTCTCGATGCATATTCCGGGTACAAACAGATACAGATGGATCTGGATGATCAGGAAAAAACCTTATTCATCACTAAATATGGCATGTACTGCTATAACGTGATGTCGTTCGGATTAAAAAATGCTGGTGCCACTTATCAACGTCTAGTAAACTGAATGTTTGAGGAAAAAATAGGAAAATCGATGGAGGTTTACATTGACGATATGTTGGTTAAGTCCCTGCGAGCAGATGACCATTTAAAAAATTTGCAGGAAACCTTCAGCATATTGAAGAAGTACAATATAAAGTTGAACCCGAAAAAAAGTATGTTCGGAGTCGGATCAGGTAAATTCCTTGAGTTCATGGTATCCAATCGAGGAATCGAGATCAACCCCAACAAGATCAAAGCCATCAAAGATATCACGGCCGTGGACAACGTAAAGGCCGTGCAAAGGCTAACCGGGCACATAGCCGCCCTGGGGCGATTTAGTTTGAGGTCGTCCGATAAAAGATACTGATTCTTTGCACTATTGAAAAAGAAGAATAACTATTTATGGACTCCGAAATGCCAACGAGATATGAAGGAGCTAAGGAAGTACTTATCGAGCCCGCCGCTGCTTCACACACCAAAGACAGATGAACGACTGTACTTGTACTTGGCGGTCTCGAAGATAGCGGTAAGTAGAGTCCTAGTTCGGGAAGAACGAGATACGCAATTTCCAATTTATTATATTAGTAGGACCTTAGGTGAGGCCGAAACTAGGTACCCTCACCTAGAAAAACTGGCACTCGCCTTGCTGAGCGCCTCCATGAAGCTAAAACTATACTTCCAATATCACCCCATATGTGTCATAACAACTTACCCGTTACGGAACGTTATGCATAAACCCAAACTCTCGGGCCGATTGGACAAATGGGCGGTGAAAGTAAGTGGTTACGATATTGAGTACCAACCCCGGACCACCATTAAATCCCAAATTTTGGCAGACTTCGTGGCCGACTTTACGCCGACCCTAATACCCGAGGTCGAAAGAGAGTTATTGATTAACTTGGGGACTTCCTCATGAATCTGGACC